CTCTCAGAGGCAACCGCATAACTGTCGAGGCTTTTAAGGCTCTTATGGCCACTCGGTTGAGCGACAATGTTGTGTGGAACACCAGCATCCAGGAGTGTTGTGATACCAGTTTTAGGTACGGAATGGTTGGTAATTTTACCGGCTTTTGACTTCGTGAACTTCAAATCTTTTGTTGCTTGAGACAGGAATTCGTCAATCTTGTTCTTTCCCATCGGTCTGTTTAGGAACCAAACTTGATCATTTGGCATCCTTCTATGATTTATAGCAAGAAAAAACGGACTTTCTGGACTTTTGGCTTCTTCGGGACTCCTGTAAACAAACTGCTTATAGCAGACCACAGGACATTTCTTGTCGCCGCTCTCATAAGCTCTTGGTCGGAAAGCTCTCTGGTGTTCATTTTCATCGCCGTGTCTGGTTTTAGTTTCTCTTTCTTGGAACCACTCTACATACTTTTCGCCATTTATTTCATCTTTCTTCAAAAGTACRTCTCCAAACTTCAGCTGTCTCGCTTCGTGTCGTGCTCTATGACCAAAATGCAAAGTAAGTAAGAACCACATAGTACGGGAAAGGATCTCTGTATCATGGACTCCAAACTCGTTTTCATTAAAAATAGCATCAATATCTTTGCTTGTCAGAGGAACAGTAGCATTTGGCTTGTTTCCTTTGCCCTCTTTTCTTAATTCTCGTCGTCTGGACATCAAGGCTTGTCTGGAAAGCTTAAACTCTTCATCTTTTAAGATGTTTACTTTTGCATTTTTATCGTCGAGGTATCGCTGGATACTTCTTGAGAAGGACGACATTGTATCAGGTTCGTACAAAGTATTGTCTTTCTTTTTTGCCTTTATGTAAAAGTTGGAAAGCAGACTGTCAAGTTGAGTCGGAGGGATATTCTCGATTTCTCTTTCTTCACCACATTCTTGTAAAAAGCGCTTCAGTACGTTCATGTCATACTTAGTTTTGTTGATTGTACTTGTTTTCTGTTGGGCTCGGATGTATTTCTGTATTTCACCGTCATTGAGCAGATTTGACTCAAAATATGTCGCTTGCTGAGCCAGTTCAGTGTCAGATATCTCGTCTAGATAGTAGAATTCGCTTTCGTCGTGTTCGCTTAAATTGTCAGTCATTTTAGCTTCTTTTTAAATGAAATTTAATGATTACATCCGAAGAGGGCCGGACGGATTTTGAGCAGGGCCGGACGGGTTTTTCCGGCCTGCTTACGTCAACCTGTCCGGCCCCTATCACGTGACTTTTTCCAATGGTTTTATTAGAGCGCGCGAGCAGGGCCGTACGGGTCATATGATAAAGTTATTTATGACCTTAATAAACAAGTTTCAAAAATCTGATTAGACCAGCTGGACCTGGTTAAAAGGAATAGCTTTCATTGGTGACTTCCTTTACATGTATTTTTGACTTTTCCAAATGACAGCGATATATTTTATTGATTAGTTTTTATGTTTATTCAATATTTTGTGTAATAGTTTTTTTAATAGTACACAGGGAGCCCGGCTTAGTGATGCTAAATCGGTAAAACGATCACGTTTCATATGTTGATGACATTACATAATAACCGTAACTCAATATACCCATATACAAACGATCACTACTAATAGAACTTTCTCTCTTCTTAACGCGTGCGTTACACTTAGCTGTTACGTATTTGAATTTTAATTTATTACGGTATTAAGTTACGCGTTACAAACACTGGTGTTGTATTACGTAGTGACCGTTTGTATATGGGTGTAGAGTGAAACCCCTCTATACCGTACCCTCAGTATACCGGAATTCTCTCTAAACCGGACAAAAGTTTTGGTCCGGAAATTTTTCCCATATATCTTTTGTAAAATAAACCTCAGTAAACCGGAACCTCTCTATTCCGGAAACCGGACGATAATTTCGGTACCAAACACTATTTGGCAATAGAATTCAACCCCGCTAGTCCGGAAGAACGTACCTTTGTTTCTGAACTACCGTCGCTAGCGTATTTGCGGGTGTATAAATTGAGTCTACAGGGACAACTTCTAAACTCACAAAATCATCGAAAATTTTCTTTGAATTGTAAAAAAAAATGTTCACAAATAGACATATAAAGACTAATTAATTGTTTTCAATATATGAATGTTCAAACAATGTATAAGGAAGGTTTAATAGTGTTGAGAAATACTAAAGATCGAATGGTTCGGGAAATTGCGGCCGTAAGGTCCAAAAATCGTAAGGTCCAAAAATAGTATAGCTGGCATGACTCAGTTTTTCTAACAGAGAATTTAAATTATTATTACTTACTCCCTTTCCTCATGCTGCATGGTCTCCAGCCGTATTCTTGCGTACAGCAAGATCATCATTAGTACTGGATCTCATACTCTTATCTGGAATTCATGCCAAAAAGGAAACTCAAATAAGAATATTCTTATTGATAGAAAAACCCAAGTAAAGATGATAGAGATTTTCGTAGATTTAAGTTGTACTTACCATATAATTCTCTTGATCCGCCATTGCCAACCAGTATGGAAAAGAGCGAATAACGAGCACCTGTCAGTTTAGAGGTCCTCAAACCTTAAAGGCGTAAAAGTCTTTGTTACTTGATGCGCATTAGTCATCGTAAATTCATATGGAATTTGATCTAGGTAGAGAAAGCAATAACAACGGGTCTGAAAAGGTTTCTCAAACTTTTTAAAAAAAAGATAGCAGAATTATGAATATTTTATAATGGCCCTGGCCATCCTGTTTCGTTAGGCTAGATACATTCAGTTTTCTTCTAACGACATGCATGAAAATTCGATCAATCATTGTATGGCATTTGACAACAGTATTTGGTTACTAACTATTTCTGGTAGGATTCTGGGTGTTCCGGGCATGTTCCGGGTTTTACATACACCCCGTATTTTATTGAGAAGATCTCTTTCAAACTCGTTCGTACAGCTATTGCATCGCCTTCAGCGTTTATTCGCCTCGTGATCTTTTGGACACAATCGTCCTGGTCTGCCTTTTATACATCTCTTCAAAATGATTACAGTTCATGTTATGTTGCTTTTGCTACCCTGCTAGCCACTCTTCGTGATAAACTGCTCCTATCTCGCCAGCTTTTCGTTTGTTCAAGTTATATGCCGTTCTGTTCTTCACATCATGTTGTTCGTCCTTGTTGTTCCCTTTGTCTTCAAGTCAAAACAAGTTTGTCTTCAAATTGTCTAGTTTCGATATATTTTATGTGTTAATGTTTATTATTTTATGTGTTAATGTGATATTTTTCTTCATGTTGTTGTCATTTTGTCCCCCTCTAGCGACCATGATTCTTAGCGCTAAAACAATAGATTGTTTTGATGTGACGTCATTATGAAAAAGGGCAATTCGTTAGTTTTTTGTCAAAAAACTCTGGGCTGTGACTTCTTTGTTATTTTAAATCTTTTGCCATGGTGTGTTCCTGCAGCTTATCTGTGGAGAAAACAACATCATACATTAATATGCTATAAAATATTACGAAAACAGAAGGTTCTAGGATGACTGACTGGTCGGTTTGATCAATGTAATTCAATAGTAAGCAATTGAATTTGTTATTATAAAAATCCAGTGGCGGTCGTTGAAATACTAGTCAGTGAACGAGACATTGAACTTTGAGAGTCGCACTTCAACGATAATGGTGTGATAATGTGTAAGGACCTTGATGAGATACGATCTATTTGGAAATTTACTGTGAAACGCACTATGTCATAACGATGCGAACCGCACGAACGGATCATCAAATCAACCAAATTTATACATACATAGTCTATAACTAAACCAACATATATGACGTCCCAACTTTTAAGCGAGTGCTGGCTCCTTAAATAGCCGTTTGATTAATGTCTTCACGATCGTCTCAGTCGCCTCCATTCCTTCCCGCACACATATAAGTGTTTGAACAAGGAAGGAAGGTAAAGGAGCTTCTTCTTACAGTAAGGGCAGTATTACCAGTTGATAGATTTATGGTATTGTTGATGATATCTTTAAAGATGTTTCCTGAGGGTTTTTCTTTTTAAAAACATCCTTGCACACAGAAAACACGGTATTTCATACGACATGGCAGATGTCTGAATGTGACACGGGTTTACTACGGAATCCAC